AAAAGGCAGAAAACTGTACCTGAATAACAATAAAAATGTTAAAAAAAGAATTTGCTACCAATAAAAAAACTAAAAAAAAAAAACCCAAAGAACAAATACCATCTTAATATGTTAAAGAAAGTGAAGAAAAAAGAGAGTAATTCTCAAAGTTCAAGTACAGGTATACAAAGCTATGTATTTCAAGATAAATTGCATTATGCAAGTTAAAGAGAGAAGATTACAAAGTGGCCAGGCATAAAATTAATTAGAATGACATGCTAAAAGCTTTGATATTTATTTGGTATATGATAAAATATATTGAAGTGTTTTTAAACTTTAATTATTTTGTAATCAGATCAGAATTATATTTCAAAAAAAAATAAATAACCCTCTTCACTGAGATAATGTTTGAGGGTAGGAGAGACTGGATAGAGGCTGGGAGTCCAAGGTTGACTTAGATGGGTATTTTAGAAGTGGAAGTGGTCATTCAACATATTTGAATGACATTTTTCAGACAGTACAGAAAGTACTTTTGGAGGTTGATTGAATTTGGGATGGGGGTCATTGAAGTCTAGGTCAAAATCAACAACGACCACCAAAGCAGCAAGAGGTAATGTGGATGCATTAGAACTCATTAGAAAGGATAATAAGGCATCTGTGGGAAACATGTGAAAAATGTCTTGGAAAAGTAATAAACATAAGCTTGAAATTCAGGAGAGATTTCAAGTCAGAGAACACATTTAGAACATTCAGATCATCCCTCTTTGGAGAAAAATAAAATTCACTGATATAGGTTTGATAAGTCTTAGTGACAATGCATAGTTTTAAACAAGTCACGAAGGATAAAAGTGTGCATTTTTCCTTAAGATTAAATAAATAAATAAATAAATAATGAATCCAAGCAGATAAATTTAGTTTACAAAGGAAAATCATTAATGATTTATGAGGAGAAACCTAGGGCCATCCAGGGGAGGAAAAGAGCCAGTAGTTTCATAGAAGACAAGAGAGAAGTGAGTTCCCAGGCTATAACAGATTCAATGAATATGAGCCAAGAGCAAATTATGTTGTACATTACTGCAAATTAACACTTTTAATAACTGAGAAAGCTTCCCTGGAAGAAGAGAGCATCATAAATAAACAGAGGAACTGTATTGGACAGTTACATGAAAACTGGAGTTCTTTGTGACAAAGACTACATTGGATATATTTGTGGCTCAGCAGTCCTGGTATCCAACCCAAGACTTTAAACCAGGACTGGGGAGGAAATAAGAGCGTAAATTCTAGCTGCTAATGACTTGTCTGGTAGGAACTCATGCCGCAATACTGAAAACTGAATGACACAATAAATGAAGGAGATACATACAGAAAACACAGATGATGTGTCAGTAGTATCATATTAATAGTGTGGTGTTTCTATTCAGGGACAAATTACTCAGCAAAAAACAACCAAAGAACCAACCAGGCAAACAACCAGCCAAACAGTAGACACCTGTTCAATTCTGAAAAAAATGTGTAAGGATTTACTCTTTTTGTGCCTCAATAGAAAATGGAAAAGATAGAGCTATGAATTATACACTCTCCAAATTCTAAAGAATTTTCTCACAATACTAAAACAATTTTACTACATAAGAATAACAACTTTAAGAGAATCAGAAAGTAAGAATATAAACAGCATATGAGAAAGATTTTATCTTATCCTAGTTGTCAAGTCTCCTCCATTAGCATTGAATACAACATCCATTAAGGTCCAATAGATACTTATCAAATTAATTAATAAATAATAATTAGCCATAAGACTACAAATTGCTTTAGTAGCCTTGAGACACGATATTTATATATTTACATATCCAGTATAATATCAATATTAGTGTTTATGAAGATATTAATTTTTCTAAAGATAATTTTCTATAATAGAAAATATATAACATATATAAGTTTATCTCTAAGTATATGATTATTTGCAATTTAATAGTAGATTTTTATTTTTATTATATTCAGGTTCATGAGTTAAACACTGTACTATATTGCCTTTTAAAGTTTTGCTGAGCTCATAAATTCTGAGAGCATTGTAGTGAAACTTAGAATGGCTTCTCAAATCAAAAATACCACTGAGGTAATTAGTGGAAAATTTCACAAAGAAGGTGAGCAGGTGTCAAACCTTCAAAATCTGTAGAATTAGTTCAGGAAAAATCAGCAAGAATGTAATTAGAGTAATCACGTCCTGTCTAGCTGACATTAATGGTTAGTTCTCTCGCTCTAAATAGCAATATCTTATCATTATGGTAGAAACTAGGAATGTCTTTACTTTCATTGCATTTGATTATCTTAAAGAATCATTATTTTTTCTGTATCTTTAAAATTCTGTTTTGCATATCTTAACTACAAAAAGTAATTACACTTACATGCATGTTCAGGGTAGCACTATTGACTGAAATTTCCAGAAATTTTACAAAATATGTAATGGAAATAAAATAAAAAAGAATTAAAAGACAGAGAAAAACACAGCAATTTGAACATGAAACTCAAGAACCAGCTCCACTTCTTAACCCTAGTAATCAGTGGAGGTCCAAGATAGCATGTGGAAGAACACATGGAAACCTAATGCCAGCACTATGACTGATTTTATTTTCCCAAAGATTGCAACACACAAAAAATTGTCTTCTCCATATGTTCTTCTTTCAATGCAATTGAGATACTCCTGCTGTTAGGGTATGCTATGCAATTGTATTCCTTGAACCTGACAGAGTTTTGACAACAGAAGTAACAAATGAGACTAGTTCAAAAAAAGTTCTGTCTAATCTTCTCAGGAAGTTTGTTCTTGGAATCTATCACGTTGCTGTGGGGAAACCAAACAGCCTAGTAGAGGCCCACGTGGTGCAGAAGTGAAGCCTGGGGTTTGCAGTCCTGGCTGTGCTGAGCCAACAGCCAGATCAGCATTCTTACTGAACCAACTCTGAAAGTTGTACCCAGCTCTCAGTCAAGGTGTCAAATAATCAGAAAAATTGCCTATTTTGCAAGTACACATATTTATATTTTTTCTCATGTCAATAAAAATATACCCTTTAAAGGATAAATATTTGCTATAATTATTTAAGTATGTAAAATTAAAACACTCTTCATTTCACAGAATGTTAAAGAATGGGTCAATCTTAAAATGATAATGAAGCATACAATTTTATCAAGTGTATACCATTATGTTTAATTCAAAATACATTATTTTAAAGGAAAACACTTTTTACTTGTTGGTTATAAGTCACAGAAATCTACTTAAACTTTATACCTCAGAAAGCTCATCCATAAAAGGACCATTATAATGGTAACTATGCAAATGTATTTCAATTAATATTTTTGTAGAATTTACCATAGTTCATGATGAACTGAAGATTCAATATAACCATTAGTCATTATTATCAAATATAATTTTTACCTCAAATCTGGAGCATGGCTTTGTTGCTAGCATGAAATGACATAACTATGAGAGAGATACTTATTCCATAATTTGGAAGGAAGAGATGCTCAAAGATACTTTGTAAAATCAGTCTACTCTGCTTCCCAAACAGCAACTTCTGTCTTCCTTTATTTATTTTAGTACATCAAGTACTAATAGTCAGACTTATAACTGATTCTAATCATTACTATTTCTGTATGCCCCTTATCTTGGGATGTCACTGGTATACCAGCTACATAAATTAACTCAGAAAAAAATATTATTAAAATATTATTTTTCCTCATGATTAAAAAAATCCTTACTGTTCACCATTATTAATAGTCTTCTTACTGGTGGTATTCAACAAAATAATGGCATATAACTTTATGTAATCTGTAACTATTTGCCCAGACAAAATCAATATGAGCTTTTTTGTCTGAAAAATTACCCATTTAGCTGAAAATTTACATTATTTTCTTCATTGAGTGCACATAATAACATTTATTCTTTTTTCTCCAGCTTTTTTTGGTTCATATTAGCCAATTAGACCAGCAATCAAGAATGTCAGCAGACACAAAAGTGATTCTCAGTTGTTTGAGGTCTACTGCAAGTAAGACCACATAGTCAATAAATAAAATATTGAGTAAAAACTCCTTGAAATGGGTAGAATTCACTATAATTTACATTTAGGAGAATAAATTTCTGTTTATTCTTTAAAAATATCAAATACCGAAAGGATCCCTACAGTTCTCACATGGCTAAGAATAAAAATCAATTACTTTCCATCAATTTCTGACATTACGAGCTGTGTTACTAACTCAGAAAACTTAAAGTTTCCCGGAGAAACTACAAAGCTATTCATCAAACAATTGATTCCTGGGAATTAGACTTTTCTAACACAGAATTAATAGTTTCAATATCTATGCCGAAGCAGGATATCTACTTGCCTTATAATTTTTATTCTTAGGTACAAGTATTTATCATTCAGGGAGGTCTAAGTTGTGAATTCCAAGCTGACGCTAATTTATAGCTTCATTAGAAATTTAAAAATTAGGTGCAGAATCGAGTGTAGAAAACATATGTTCATGCCTTACCTTTCCATTTTTTTTTAAATACATATTTAAGGGATAAATATTTGCATTCAGTTTTCATTAGCTTCCGTCTCCAGAGAGCCAAGTATAACTTCCAATAACATTTCAAAAACTTAAGAGACTAAAGAACATCCTGTTGAACTGCATGTCCTTTGATTTAGGATCACATGTTTACATGTGAATTTAAATAAATGTTAGAATTATTTTTCAGTTTCCCAGCACATATTGAGAACATAACTCTGTTATGATTTATAGGTGGAAAAATAAATCAATCTATGTAAATAGGTTGTGGCTTTATAACATGTCTTCTACATTGTAAATGATATAATTATTCAATGTGACCAAAAATTTTCTCATAGTTTCCAAAATTGGGTTTGGGCATACATAGTTTTTATCATTCATATAGTGAAGTTTACTATTCTCACCTAACATGTCTATAAAATACTTGAACAGGATCTCACTGGGGTTCAAGAGGTGTAAGTGAAAAGGAAAAGAATATTTACCGGAGTTCTCAACTCTGGTATGGCAGCTTGATAGGTGATTGGACGACAATCACGAGTGTTTGGCACAAGGACACAAGGAAGAAACATTGGACCCAAGTCATCTCCATCCAGCACATCCACTGTGAGGGTGGTGGTGGTGGTTCGCCTTTCATTCAGATTTTGTGCACGATCCTGTGGGAGAGAAAGAAAAACCCAACACAATGGACTTAATGTTTCCCTCAGTTTGACTAAACTCTTGGCAGGTTTCTTACTGATAATCATCACCTAATTTCTGTTTTCCCAGAGCATTTACTTTAGAGAACTTACAATTGAAAAAGTTTCTCTGCTCCTTTGGGACATGAATTTTCTCCCAGCTAAGATTTTTAAACAATAGTTGATATGCATTGTTATATTAGTTTCAATGTACAACATGATTCCATATTTAGATGCCTTATAATCACTGTGATGTGTCTAGTGGTCATCATTTACCATGTAGTTATTAAAATATTATTCAAAGATTCCTCAAAAAATCAAAAATAGAAAGAACCAACATACAATCCAGCAGTTAGTTCTACTTCTATCTGAAGAAAATGAAAACATTAATTCAAAAAGATGTTTGCACCTTCATATTCATCCCAGCTCAAACTGTTGACAGTTTTACCACCCAAATCTCTCTCAAGGACCTGGAAATCATCCCTTTGAAATGTAATCATCAAGGAAGATAGGGCTCCTATTTCTTAGTCAGTATCAGAGGGCAGTAGCACAACTTCAGAGGAGTCTTGCTCCAAATTGTGAAACTGTCTCTCATCATGAAGAAAGAAAAATGTTTTTTTTTTTCTTTTTCTTTTATTCCTTCCAGAGAGAAGGGAAGAAAGAGAGGAAGAGAAACATTGATGAGAGACGGAAACATCAATCGGTTGTCTCCTGCATATGCCCCAACTGGGGCAACAGTACTTTTTAATAAAAAGTACTGTTGTACTTTTATTAAATTAATGTTTTTGTATGTCTCATGATTTTCTTCTGGTCTAATGTATTTTGAATTCATTACTTGTCTACATGTAGTCTGCTGGTATCATTAAAATAACATAGTGTTCCAAATTTTTAAATAAGAGTTGTTTTACTTGCTTCTTCATTCTTGGGAATTATGTTTCAAATTTTTTTCTTTTTCTCTAGACATATTTCTGAGAGAACAGTTTTTCTTGTTTGTTTTTTATTTTGTTTTCCATTTTTATTGAGGTATAACTAACTTACAGGACTGTATTAGGTTATTAACTTGACTTATATATATTGAGAAATGATTGACACAATAAGTTTAATTACTATACATAATCTCATATCTTAAAACTTAAACAAAAATATTTTTCCTTATGAAGAGGATTTCAACCCCAGCTCTTAACAACTCTCCAGCCCTTCTTTTCAGTAGAGTTGACTGCATTCTGGTCTCCTTCCCATTGTAATAGCTTTGAATGAAGTTTTCTTCACCCATTTAACTTTGTCCAGTGCAGTTTTTGCCTTGACAATACACTGCTATTAACTAAGATCCATATTTCATTGGGATTTTCCTAGTTTTTAACTAATGTCCACTTTCTGTTCCAGGATCCCATCCAGAATACCACTTTACACTTAGTCATCATGTCTTCTTAGGCTCCTTTTTGCTCTGGCCATTTAACAGGCTCCCTTTGCTTTTTGATCACCTGGATAATTTGCAGTACTGTACTAATAAGGTACTTTGTAGATGTCCCTCAATGGGGCTTTACATAATGATTTTCCTAAAGATTAGACTGGCATTGGGGGTTGGGGAGACCATGGAGGTAAAGTATCATTTCATCACATTATATCTAAAGTATATATTAACATGATTTATCTCTTATGTTAACCTTGATCACCTGGTTGAGGTTGTGTCTGTCAGATTTTCCCACTGGAGTTTCTCTTTCTTTTTTCCCCTCTCCAAGTCTTTGAATAGGAATCATTATGTGCAGCCCATATTAAGGAGTGAGAGTGATTCCATCAGAAATTTATATTAATTATGTTGATCTAAAGGGTGTTTATCATGAGGACATAAGGAAGAAACATTGGACCCATTTGTCTCTATCCAGAACATTTACTATGAAAGTAGTAGTGACAGTTTGTCATTCATGATGGTAGAAACTAGAAATGTCTTTTCTTTGTGTTTGACTATCTTAAAATATCATTATTTTTTCTGTATCTTTAAAATTCTGTCTTGCATATCCTAACTACAAAAAGTAATTGCAGTCACACATATGTTCAGAGCAGCACCATTCATAATAGCTAAAAATTGGACACAGTTGAAACATCCATCAGTAAGTGAATGGATAGACAATTTTAGTGTTTGTGTGTGTGTGCAATAAATAACATAGCCACAGAAAAAAGGAAGTACTGATATATGCTACACTTTAATAAACATTCAGAACATCATTCTAAGTAAAAAAAAACAGATTAAAAGGTTACATGTTGTATAATTTCATTTATATGAAATATTCTGGATAGGTAAATTCAAAGAGACAGTACACAAATGGGTGGCTGCAAGGAACTGGGAGAGCAGGGATGAGAAGCCACTGCTAGAGGTAACAGAGTTTCTTTCTGGACAGATGAAAATATTTGGGAAATAGAGCTGGTGGGTGCCCAACAACGTGAGGGTGCCAAACACCACTGAATTGTTCACTTTAAAATGGTTGATTATATGTTACATGAATTTACTTCATTAACTTTTAAAAATTAAGTAATACACTAATAGATTTTTATTTTACTTTATGTAGCTTACAAAACGTTTTCCTGTGTGATATTTAGAGACATTGATACTTGTTTAGCAATTTAAAAATTTTCCCCCTTTCTTAAGCTTTTTTTCCACCCATCTTTTACTCCCTCTCCTTTCAACTATTGGCGTATACCCCGTATCTATGGACTTGTTTCTGATTTGTTTATTCATTTGTTTTATTTTTTGTTTTTAGATTCTACATAAAAGTGAAAGTACATGGTGTTTATCTTTGTCTGAATTATTTCACTTAGCGTAAGTGAAATAATTCACCCCAACCTGGGATCCAAACTGCAACCCAGGTACGTGCCTTGATATGGAAAATAATCTTCAGCCTTTTAGTTTATGGGACAATGCTCCAACCAAATGAGCTGCCTGGCCAGGACCCATATGCTTTATCCCTTCATCTATCCATGAACACCTAGGTTGCTTCTACATCTTGGATATTATAAGTAATGTTGCAGTGGACATGGGGATGCATGTATTTTTTTGAATGAGTGTTTTACTTTTTTGGATAAATAATCTTAGAAGTAGAACTACTTTGTCATTTGGCAGCCCTATTTTTAATTTTTTGACCTCTACAATGTTTCCCAGTGACCCAATTTACAATCCCTTGAATAGTGTATAATGATTCATTTTTCCCAACATCCTCAAAAGCACTTATTTGTTGATTTATTGTTAATGGCCATTCTAACTGGTGTAACATGATATCTCATTGTGGTTTTGATATGCATTTCCCTGATGATTAGCGATGTTGAACATGATTTCATATGTTGTTGGCCATTGGTACGTCCTCTGTGGAGAAATGTCTACAGTTCCTTTGCACTTTTTAAATTAATTTTTTTGGGGGGTGGAAGTTGCATGACATCCTTATATGTTTTGGAAATTGATCCCTTATCAGATGTAGTTTGTCTTTTCATTTTGTTGATGGTTTCCTTCTCTGTGCAAAAACTTGTTAATGTTATTTAGTAGCATATGTTTATTTTTCCTTAAAATTATACTTTTAGTGTATAAGTTTTAGCATATATAAAAATCTTAATTTAAAGTAAATTTATGGGTTTACTTTAAATTTTGTAAAATACAACTGGATCATAAACCCTACCAGTTTAAAATTATGACAGAATTTTCACAAAAAAACCTGTATCAATCGCAATTTAAGAAAAAAATTGTTACATAAGTAACATTTTATGTGATCTTGAATGTGGCAAGACTATTTTAATATTCCAGAATCAGTATTTTCATAATGACATGTTACGCAGCCTTATACCTTATACGTCACCACCAGAACACTGCAGTAGACAAAGTAGAGTGTTTTCTATCCTTTTTTTTTAGTCTTTTAAAAACAAATCTCTTACTATTCCATAAAATGGATACAAGTGCCTAAAAAAGGGTATATATTTACTAACAATAATTTAGCCTTTTATCTCATACTGGGAAAGATATCACTTACAAAGTGCTGATGTATAAAATGTGAATTTTTAAATGGAAAAAAAAGGACTGAAGAATATATTGCAAGGGGCAGGAAGAATAATTTTCCTTCCACCTATTTATATTCTTCACTGAGACTTTCCAGTATCAAAAGATAGATTATCAGTAGAAAAACAACAAGTTTAATAGTATTCATATAGATGGGAGATACTACAAAAACTGGGTAACCTCCGAATGGCCCTAACGACCATCTATCTGAAACACCATTTCCAACTAGAGACAAAAGGAAAAGAAGATATTGGCAGGCAGAGAGACAGGTTTTTAGACAAAGCACAGTAAATTAGGGTATGGTTGTTATTCAAATTTAAGTTCCTGCCTTATGCCTTCATAAATTTCTACAGATTTTCTCATCCTTCTATTCCAGATACTGAAAGGGACGCAGCTTAACAAATGGAGCTTTCCCTTATAATTGTAAATTGCTCTTACAAAAGGGAAACTTCTAATTGGTTTTCAGAGCTTCTCTTCTGTCTTTTTCTTTTGTTTTGTTTTGTTTTGCTTTTAAATGATCAGATTAAAATAATTCTAATATCAAAGAATCATTTTAGGGGTGAAAAATTCTGCTTCTCTTTATTATTATGAATAGAGATGTAGTAATGAAAAATACCAACATCATTTCTACATGTCAAGATTCCCCACAGCTTGTCACCAAAATATATAACATAATGAGAAATATAAAAATAGGTCTCATGCATACTTCTAACTTGTGAGCCCATGGAAGGTGTTAATCTATCATGATTTTCTCCCATTTCAAACCAAATTGGATCTTAAAAATATATCTAAAGTCAAGTTGCTGGTAATTGAAAACAATGAAAAAACACCTTTTGCTCTTTCTAGTAAAATGTTACTGCTCAACACTATTCTATGTAAAAGAAATAGTGTTATAAATTTGGAGTGGTATAAATAAAATATGCTTATTTGAATAAATATTTTA